ATGAGGTGGTTCTATTTAAATATTTCTGAGAACAAACAAAACAAGAAATGTCGACTTGTCAAAAAGAGTGTTGTGCAAAGAAAGAGAGCTGCTGCGAGAAAGTGTGCCCAGCCAAAAAGGCATACGAGGAGTTCCTCCGTGCCGTCCCAAAAGCACAAGTAGGTGAAGAAGCCCCAACATTCAAGGCACAAGCCCTCTGCCCATGCAATGGAATTGTCGATTTTGACTTTGAGAAGGTGAGAGGAAAGTTTGTTGTCTTGTTGTTCTACCCACTCGACTGGACTTTTGTGTGCCCCACCGAGATGTTGGGATATTCCAAATTGGCTGAAGAAATGAAAGACGTCCAGTTCATTGGCATTTCAGTCGACTCAGTCTTCTGTCACAAAGCGTGGTGCGATGCTCCACGTGAACACGGCGGGATTGGGAAGTTGGCATTCCCATTAGTCTCTGATATCAAGAAGTGTATTTCTATGAAGTACAACATGTTCAATGCGGCTGATGGCATCGCAAGACGTGGTTATGTCGTTATTGATCCAAAGGGTATCATCAGATATATGCAAGTCAATGACAATGGCATCGGAAGAAACACTGAGGAGACTAAGAGAATCATCGAAGCTATCAAATTCTCTGATGAACATGGCGAAGTCTGCCCACTCAACTGGAAGCCTGGAAAAGACACCATGAAACCATCACCGGAGGGTGTTGCTGACTATTTAGTCAAACATTAATTCATTCAAAACTTTTTATTGTTTCTTTGTTAGGTTTTATATATTATATAAAACAACTCAATCAATTGGATTTGATGTCTTTTCATATATGAAGTTATTAAATTCATTTTCATTATTTTATCGTCAAGAAGTTTTTTAATGTGCTAAATTCTAGTAATTTGTTGTTTTGTTGTTGCATTTTTGTGGTCTTTTTGTTGTTTGAAAAAAACACCAAATTTGTTCTTCTTTTTTAATAAAGTGGCATATAAGTTCCGATACGTCTGCTTTGTAATTGTAGTCTTGACTTTAAATTTCTATGTTCTTGTTATTCATGGCAATTTCAAAAGCTTTTTCTAAGTGTTGTGTATTTGTTTCCACTTTTTTGGTGTACTTTATGTGATTAGATTCGAAGCCTTCTAACTGCCAAAAAGTGATTGCTCTATAAACACGTTACTAATCAACTAGTTTGTGTCTTCATTTACACAAAACACAAATTTCTCAACACCAATTTCACAATCAAATTTAACATTCCCACAAATTTAAAGTTTTTTGTTACATATAAATAATTCATTATATTTAGTTTAATATAAAAATATATTCATTATTATCAAAAGAAATGCCAAGTCAACGAATTTGCAACAAATGGGTGGCTTCACAAAAGTCTCTTTTGCAATTGATAAAAGTTTGAGCTTCTGGCAGTCGGCACATTCCTTCATATCCATTTTTCAATATTCCCTTCAATATCAATTTCTATGAAAAGCCAACATTTGTAACTTCCAGTTTTGCAGTTTCTGATTCAAAGATAATTGTCTTTTTAAAACTTCAATATTGCCATTAATGTTTATATCTTTAAGTTGGTGTTGTGTATCTTGTATATGGAAGAGTTAATACACACTCAGTCTTTGAAACACTTGTTATTACTTTTTATTAAGTCACAACAATTACACAATTCAATTTATTTATTTGAAGTTATAAAATCAATTTTTGAAAAGTTTTGAGACTATTCAAATAATCCAAACTAGTTTTTGGTGATAATATAGTTTGAAAAACAAAACTTTTAAAAGGGTATTAAAATTGCAATAAAACATTCCTTTGTTGTTTTTTCAAAAACACAATTTTTTTTACTACAACTCGTTCAATTACTTTATTGAGAAAATAAAATTACAATTTATTGGCCGTTTAGTGTTACACAAATGTCAGATGGTGATAAGCTATTTGTAAATTTCAGTGTTTTTCCACTTGTCACTGAAAGTTCAAATCTCTTTGTTTTGATATTAAACAAAGAATTTTTGTTTATTTTGTTTTGAGTGACATCCATGACCCTTGTAGATACTTTCAAGAACACAACTTTTCTCATCCGAGGTAGTTGCTACAAACAAGTCAAATCACTTGAATTTATTTATAATAGTTTTCTTTCCATGCAAATTCATCTTTCAAATAATGCATTTAAAATAGTAATTTAAACACATTTATTCAAATAATATAATCAAATGAATCCTTCTTAATTTATTTTTGAGCTTTCAAAGGGGTTTCTGTTATAAATTTTGAATATAATAAAGTAAAAAAGGTCAATACACAAAGTACTTTGAGAGAGTTTAAATTGTTACATCGGAATATCTTTGTTTATTGGTTTGAAGAGTTTTGTATGGTTTAGAAACATTGTTGTATTATCTTAATTGATAACAACTATTAATAAATAAATTAATTTGTGTTTCACCATCCAACTTTTTATAATTTAAATTGTTGTTTAAATACTTGTGTTTAAATTAACACTGGTTATTAATGTTTTGCATCACAAAACAACATATTTGGTTTTGACAATCACACAAAACCATTTTTTAAAAACTATAATCATACATTAATATATTAAAAACAATCTAGTTATAACTCAGTTAATTTAATTTAATTGTTTATTAAATATTAAATTAACATCGAAAATAGTTTAATAACCATTTCAAAGATGTTTATTTCCAATAAACATTTTTCAAAATGTCAATAAATTATAAATCTTTATAGTATCTCTAATTAACATTGAATTAATAATCATCATTACAATCAACACAACACACAAATTGACTATTTAACAACAAACAATAATCATTTGTTCAAATATAAACAACTTTTCAAAACTGAAAACATCAGATGACAACACCAAGCAAAAACGCACAAACTGACACAACAAATTTGGCACTTGCGTTGAGTAAGTGCGATGTCATAAATCATCTTTCTCTTGATGAAATACTCAACAAGTTGAATGCAGATTCCTTATCTACTCCAAAAATAGAATACCGTATTGAGTATAAAGAGAAGATAGTTGAAAAAATAGTGAACAACACAGATGGAGACTTTATTGAGAGGGAGTATCTCAATTTAATTAAAAGTAGATTAAGTAATTATTATGGAGATTATATACATAACAAATATACCCTTTTGGATATATACGAAAATGTTACAAAGTTGAAGAACAAAGTGCTGTCATCAGAAAGTGGCATGGACGTGGAAGAACTGGAGAGGGGTGTTGGGCCAATAAAAGGGATTGTATTTAATGAAAATAAATATGATAGATGTGACAACTCTATAACAAAAATAAAGACAAGGAAAAGCTCTGTTTTGCTGTTGAACAAAAAAATGGCAACCAATATGGAAATTTTATATACAAAAAATCAGTTCATGTCTAACCTATCGTTACACATATGGACTTCAAAATGTTGTAGGAATAGAAGACCCCGATGGGTATCTATTCACTTTGAAAGAAGACGGTGTGACAAAAATAACGAGATACCAAAGAGACAGAAATGCGTCCAAATTTCATTGTGACTCAAACATATGACCACTTGTTGTTTTATGACGGTAGAAGTTACATTTACAAATCAACAATGAGTTCAATAAGTGAACTTGGTAAGTTGCCAGACCAATATCCAAGTGCTCCATCTCAAAAATTTGGTGATGACACAAACGGAAATGTGGAGAATGTGGTTGTTTTTCAATTGCTCTGAATAAATCAATTTCACATTTAAGTTCAAGTTAATATTTTATAATAAATGTATTATAATTAAATTATAACATATCATCTTTATTTTAGCAAGACAACTGAATTATTATTTGTGAAAGTGAGAACTAAATAAGTTTATTTTAGATCATAAATATTTTTAGAATGATAGAAAACAAATTCAAAAACACAAAATCAATTAGTTTTTGCACAACTTAATTGTCTTTACAGACCAATGTTTACATTTTCACATGTTCAGTATAATCAGTACTTGCTATAACGAGAAAGACAGAAGAGTTTTCACATGAGCACTTCCGACTTTATTGGTTTTTCATAATTCAAATTGGTTTGTGACACACCATTCTTATTTAAAAGTCTTTTCAGTTCAAATTAAAAATTAAAATAATAAGATTTTATTGTTATCTTTGAATAAGAACAACACATATAATAATATACTCCATCAAATGTAATAAATGTATTACACATTTGAAGTGTTTATTATCTCCAAGTTGGTGTTATTGAATAAACTTTTAATATATATATATATATATATAATTAAATAATACTTTAATAGTGTTGTTATTATGTGTTGAAACTAACAATTCACATTAGTTTTTCAAACTATATGTATCTATTTTGTAAATGAAACTATTCATGATTGTAGTGCTAATTTTTTATAGTCAACAATAATCGAGTATATTAGTTGTAACAATATATTGTAAAATAACATTCGTTTGTTGTTGTTATTTTTATATTGAATAAAATAATATATTGTTTAGATAGTTTAGATAGTTTAGATAATGAAATGCAAATAATGATCAAATGACACCGAAGATAAAAATTTTTAATATTAAAGTGGATAAACATATTGTTTTTGTATTTTTTATTATTGAATTGTTGATATATTTTCACATTTAAAAGTGAAAAGGTACAATGAAAAAAATCTATTTTTCGTAAATACAAAAAATAATTTATTTGTCGGATTCAATAGAATTATTTAATTTTTTTAATATAAAATTGTATTATTAAGTATAAATTTGGTTTAAATTCAACAAAAAGTACAGATTCAAAAACAAAAAAAATATAATTATCGTACATTCAAATGATTAGCCAGTTGTGCGACAAATAGACCCTTTACATTATAAGTCTTAATTTGTATAAATAATCATTTGTTATGTCATATAAATTTATAAAGTAACCAGATATAACGCTTAATTGTTTTAATGAGTATTTCATTTAAAATGTAAGTCATTATTATTGTACAAGTTACAACTTATAATCGTGACAATTAATAAAACAAAATATCAATAAGGACAATCACTTCTAGGGGCCGTGACTGGGTCAAGCAAAAAATCAGGAAAATGAATAAACATCACCTCTGTGTTGCACCTTCTTTTTTCTTCGTTGTAATTTTTATCAAGACATTTTATAAGTTTAGGATTAGGTGTGTTTACAGATAACGGGTCGAAACACATTTTAATTTCATAAATTGACGTCATTTCAACACATGTAAATATCACATCATTTCCAATGACTTTTTGAATTGCGTTTCTGAGCTTATCTATGTTATAGAGTTTGTTGGTCACAACTTTCAAATCACTCTCTTGTAAGATTTTCCACAAATCGTATTTTTTAAACAGTCTAATTGCCGTTTTAATATAATTGACAATACCATTATTCCCAACAAAATTTTTCATTGAACACGTTCCATGTTTGTCAAATTGATAAATTGAAATGCCACACCTATCAACGGATATCCAGTTTTGATAAATGAGGCTTTTCAGCTCCGAGTCATCAAGTATGATTTGTTCTGCTTTTGAAATATGAACATCGGTTTTGCAACAAACCAAATTTTTATGAGCGTCATTTTGAGGCCATAACCCATGCAAGAAAAAGCCCTCATTTACATAAGGAGTTGAAAAGGGAAGTGCACATACATTGTCTCGACACTTTTCCCCGGGCCAATATTCAACTAGAGCATATGAAAGAACTTTTTTAATGTTTTGGTATTTTTTACAATAATTGTAAAATCTAAATTTGAGTACTTTAGGTGGAAATGGCACTTGTTTTGGTTGCTCACTTTTACTTTTAGATGTTTTTTTTCTGACTTGATTCTGCTTTTGTTTGAGATTCTTTTGGTCTGGCTCCTTGTTCTGTTTGTGAAAATTGGTGTTGTTTTTCTTGTGTATTTTCATCAGGGTTTTGACTTGCACCAGAAACAACATTTTGAGGTTGTTCTGTTTTCTGAGTCATGGGAAGAACACCAGGATGTAGTGGGAAATTTGGGTAAATGGAAGGAATACTATGTCCTTGCGGTCTTGTTGGAAACATAGTATGTCGTTGTTTAGGTGGATAGTCAAACTGTTGGACACCAGGAACAAAAGGTAAGTGATGTACATTCTGTGGATGTTGGGGTGGAAGAAAATAAGTTGGAGTTCTACTTTTTGCTTGAAAAACTTGTTGGGTTGGAAGACCAAAACTGGTTCGTTGTGGTCTGTTATCAAATGACGGAAGTTGATTTAAATGATGACTAGGACGGATATTTAAATGAGATACATCTCTAGGCACAATCGGTAAAACTTCACCAATGGATTGCATTTCTGGGAAAGTTTTTTGTCTTTCTTTATTATTTAATTTCTTTTGATCTTCACTGTTATCTGACTGATCTGGCTGTTCAAATGCCAACACTTGAAATAACAAGACCAATTTAAAGAGCATCACTTAAAAATTAAAATAATAGTGGTGTAAAGTTGAAAAGTTATAACATTAAACAATTGAAGTTAAAAAATTAAATGAAAATGATTATCAATAAAAAATAAAATGTATTAACTCACTTGCAATATCTTTATCAAAACATGGAAATAACATCAAATTTATCATTTTTAAAATTCACAATTATTTCTTGGTGCTGTTTTTGGATTAAGAAGATACTCTGGGAATTTTTTGAACATGACCTCTTTAGCACATTTTCTTTCTTCTTTTCTGAACATATAAGGAGGGCATTTAATCATTTTTGGATTAAATTTATCAATATAAATATCATAACATGTTCGTATTTCCGCAATTGAAGTCATTTCAGAGCATTCAAACACGGGCTCTATTTTCAAACTTCTTTTTAATATTTTCTTCAAATCAGAAAGTGCATATAATTTTTCCGTTTCAACTTTCAATTCGCTTTCTTGTAATAATTTCCATAAATCATATTTATCGTACAAAAAGAGAGCTGTTTGCATATATTCTAAAGGTCCTCTATTTCCAACATAAATATCCGATGAACAACTTCCATGTTTGTCCCATTGATGTATTAAATGTCGACATAAAGTGAGTGACATCCATTTATTTCTTATATTTTGCAATAATTCTTTGTCATCCACAACTTGTTCTTCGACTTCAATATCTGAACGTGGGTATACACAACACATGAGAATTCTGTTGTTACTATATTGTGGCCAAAAGCCATGAAGCCAAAATCGTTCTTTAGTTTTGTGGGTACCTTTTGGCAGTGAACATGTTTGTCCATCACATTTGGCACCTGGCCAATATTCTACATATACCATCAAATTTAATTTCCTTGTAATAGGTTGGTAAAATTTGCACATTGGATAATTTTCTAGATAAATAATAGTTGATGGGTGTATAACAACATCGGGTGGATATTTAATAGGAACATTTTTTTGTTGTTCTTTTTGATCTCCACTTAAAAGTTGTGAAGGTGTACTTGGTGTTGCTGGATATAAATCTTCGCGTTTTACTCGGAGTTCTTTCAGCTTCTTTTGATATTCAGAAACTGCGTATGTTGATCTCCTGTGCTTTCTACGTGATATCGGTTTGTCTTCAGAAGTCTTAGTTTTTGGACGAACATCTTGTGATTGTTGAATTTGTTTTGTAGGTTCATCTGTTGGTTTAGTTTCATCACTTTGAGATTCTTTTGGTTGTTCTTTTGGTCGAACAACGTCTCCTTCGTGTTTTGTACGTTCTTCTTGAATGGGGTGAACTAATTTTGGAAGACTTTGAATTGGTATTTGTGATTTTTCGGACTTCTTTTTGGACTTTTTAGAAGTAACAACTGTAAAACCATGTTCTTCTTCTGGATGTGGTAATGTTTCTTTTAAAGGATTCAATGAAGGAAATACTTCTAGGTTTTTCGAAGTTTCTTCGGGTTGTTCAAATGCAAGTAATATCTTGAATACAATTAAAAATAACATAAAATTAAAAGTTTTACAATTTTAACATCAAATTTTTATTTATAAAAATTGAAGTCAAAAACGTGTAATACTATAACGTTATTTAAAATTTACTATAATTGTTTTGATACAGGTATTATTTCAATTTTCATTATATAACAATCTTTGTTATACAATTTTACTTGAGTTTGGTAAACATAAAATATCGAATTATCATAAAAACACATAAACAACATTTATTTTGAATTTTAATTTATTTAGTTAAAGACCAACAGAAAATTGTCGTACACTTGTGTTTTTAGTATCAAACAAACCAAAAAATCGGGTATATTTTTCACATATAAAATTTGACTAAACAATCAGGAAAAAATTTGGGGTTTGAAAAAATAAAAACCCGACTTTATACAGAAAAAAACCTTAAAACAATGTGTACGACTATTTTCTGATGTACGACAGTTTTCTGGTGCTCTTTATATGTCAAAAAGTAAAAAATTGAACAATTTTAAAAATAAAAACATTTTTTTATTTTTAAAATAAAATAAAATCGTTTTCCATTTTATTAAATCGTATTATAATAACATTTTTGAATAACCAATTATAAGGAGATGCAGTAAAACCTCCCAAGAACTGGAGGGTGTGGTAATTTTGTTTTCTCGAGAGCGGGCATTTTTAGCCAATCAAACCTTAATTACCACTCTATAGAGAACTCTATTTTTAGTTTCAGTCTAAAAAATGCCTGCTCTTGAGAGAACCCGCTCTTCAGAAATACCGCTCTTGGGAGGTTTTACTGTATTGTTTTTTAAATTGATAAAAAAACTGACGTGAATATATATCATATATATGATTATTACAGTATTTTATATGATCAAACTGTTATGATAATATTAATTTATATTTAATGGTAAATATTTTAAAATTCAACATATAGATTAAAAATTAATCGACTTGTGTAATCTTTTGCATATTTTGTATAATTAAATTATTAAAAATTGCAATTTGTTAAATAAATCATATTTCAAATGATATATGTGTAATATTTTCAATTTGAATATGTTACTTTTTATTTTAATTGTTATAAAGTTATTTTCATTTGTGCAATAAAATTAAACATTTATCATATAACATTTAATTAATTTCGATTAAATAAATTATAGAACAAATATAAGCATCAGATAAGTGTGTAATTTTTCATTTTTAATATTTGTTTTTTAAAGATTTTTATTTATTATATTTAAAAATCTTATAAAAGTGAAAATTATAATAAATAAACAATTAATAATCAAATCATTTTATCATATATTTAATTTAATATTATATTATATTATTTGAATATTAACACATATTAATAACCACTAATACTCATTGTATATTTCTTCAAATATATTCCCGAGTTATAATTCAGTAATAAATCCATATACCAATCAATATTTGCAAATTATAAAAATACGTTGTGTAATTTTAATGTATTTTAAATGTATAACCCTGTTGAACACAAAAGTACACAACTTTAATGAATATAGAAGACTCAAATCGTGTTTCTGAAACTCCTGATACCAATTTAGAAACCGAAAAACCGATTTGTAACATCGCAAACCCATCACAAGACGGTTCTATTAGTTTATTATCATTGTTCAGATACACTAATTGTGTCGATATACTTCTTTTAATTTTTTGAATTATTGGTTCATTTGCTTCAGGCGCTATAAAACCTCTCACCACTCTTGTTCATGGTAAGTTGATAGACGTTTTCTCTTTCAGATTTGACGAACGTGTTTCAACTTTACCATTAAAAGAACAAATAATATACAACCATCAATTCGTTTGTTTAAATATATTACACACACTCTTTTTATAATTTTTAAAGGATTATTTTTCATAAAGAGACGGATGTGTATAAATTTATCAACATAATAAAACAATTACTTCATATTATTATTTTTTAAATAAATTTATTAAATTAACTTTCAATTGTTCAATGAAAAAATTAAAACATTTTCAAATAATTTTTATTGAAAAAAATATTGACACAATACAATTTATAGTTTATAATCGTAAATTCAGTTATTAAAAATATGTTTAATTAAAGATTTTCATCAGATTATCTTAATGTATAACAAATGTCGTATACTTGTGTTTTTAGTATAAAAATTCATTTTAATACAAAAATAATAAACAACATTAAAATTAAAATAAACAACTTATAAAAAAACAAAGTTTTTAGAAAATAAAATAATTATTAATAAAAAACCCAGGGTCGGCCAAACGATCATGTTATTGGAAAAAAACTTAAAAAACAATAAAATGGTAAATAACATTATCATTTTTGAAAAACAAAAAGAAAATGACAAAACACGATTATTTATACCAAAAGATAAAATGAAGAAAAATAAAACGATAATTTATATTAAACACCAAATTGTTTTCAAATTACTTTAAATACAATATAATAATATTTCTTTGTGTTGATTTAATTGTACACCAAACCTTTCAATTGTAAATTATACATGCAAATAAAACTTATTCAAAATTACTCTGATAACAGTTTTTTTTTATTTGGGTGATAATAATTATTTTGATTGATTATTATCGTATTATGAATTATCGATTTTATCAAGAAAACGTACTAAAATTAAGTTTTACTGTTTTGAACGTAATATGATTCACTCCATTCGAAAAATAATACATTGTTTGTTTTGTATTATGGCTAAAGATAATAAAATTACTTCTATTTGATTGTTTAATTTATACGATAATTTAAAAGGGACACAAATGAACTTTTGTTAAATTGACAAATATACATTTGTCAAATGACAAAAATACAGACATTAACAATTAATATTAATGTGTATGTTGAAAAAGTATATTAATTGTTTAAATAAAAATTTTAAGTTGAAATCACTAAAATGATTTCTAATAATTTTTATTGGTTGTTAGTACCTTCTGTATATACAACAATTATAAGGAGTGAGTATTGTTATTTAATTTTAAAAACTTTGCATTTTACCATTTCATATGCTTTTTTACTGTTCAGTTATTGTTCTTTAAAACTGGATTATAACACATTAAAATGATGATTTAAACAATATAAAAATTTAGTTTAAATCGTTAACTATAGTTTTACCAATTTTTAAAAACATTTTAACAATAAAAAACTTTTTAAGTTTTTTGTTAACAACATGCTAAAACTAAAATATATATTGACACGTATTAGAGATTGCCACGAAGTTGTTTAAAAACTGGATCTTGGCCGACCCTGAAAAACCTTAAAATTGAATCTTTCTTTAATAATTAACAAACAGGAAACAACAATTGGACAAGCAATTGATACTTTATGTCTTCAAATGTTGCTATTTGGTTTAAGTTTAGGTGTTGCCTGTTTTATTTTACACTTCTGTTTCTTTGTACTTTCAGAACAACAAGGCATCAAAATTAGACTTCTAGATTTCAGGTCTTTATTAAGACAGGACTCTGGTTGGTATGACTTTCAAAACAGTGGAGAGTTAACAACTAAAATCATAAGTGATGTCAAAACCATATCAGACGCCATGTCTCCAAGAGTAGGTGCTCTCTTCCAAATGATTGGTACTGTTCTTTCAGCAATAGTTTTATGTTTTGTCACATGTTGGGACTTAGCTTTAGTCCTTTTTTCGTCGATACCTTTTATTGTTTTAAGTCTCTACATCATTGGATTTGGTGTCTCCAAAACGACTCAAAAAGCCGACAAATACATAACAAGTGCAGATGGACAAGCGGAGTCGACCATTGGCAACATCCGCACCGTACAATATTTAAATCAAGAAAACAACTTTGCGTCGTCTTACAATGACAAGATGAACAAGGCTGAAAGGTTTTTATACATCAGAGGAAGTCTAACTGGACTTGGGATAGCAGTTGCAAATTTCCTTATTTTTAATTCTTTTTCGCTTGGATTATGGTATGCTTCAATGATCATAAGAGGACACGGCGGGTCTAAAAATACGTCGGCTGGTACTGTAATGACAGTCTTCTTCTCTATTATTACAGTGATGCAAATGTTGCCGACCATTGGAACACCACTTGAGTTGCTTTCTAAAGGAAAAACAGCGGCATTTCGAATATACAATACCATTGATAGAATACCAAATATCGACACTAAAGATAATTCAGGAAAAAGACCCGAAACGTGTGATGGAAAAATTGTTTTTGAAGATGTGCAATTTAGTTACCCAAGTCGACCTGAAAAAACCATTTTGAATGGACTTGATTTGACAATTGAAAAAGGAAAGACAGTGGCTCTTGTTGGAGAGTCTGGCTGTGGGAAGAGTACTACAATACAATTGATTCAAAGATTGTATGAAATCAGTGGCGGGTCGATAAAAATAGATAACACCAAAATCGATGAATTGAATGTCAACTGGCTTAGAAGCCAAATTGGGATAGTTGGACAAGAGCCTGTGTTATTTAACTGCTCGATTAAAGACAACATACTTCTTGGGGCAAAAGAAGATCAAAAAGTGACAGATGATGATATCAGTGAAGTCTGCAAAATGGCGAATGCAAGTGACTTTATTAACAAATTACCGAATACATATGACACTCTTGTAGGTGATAGAGGGGCACTTCTATCTGGTGGTCAAAAGCAGCGAATTGCAATTGCAAGAGCTTTAATAAAGAATCCACAAATTTTACTATTAGATGAGGCTACAAGTGCACTCGACACACAAAGTGAAAAAGTTGTGCAAAATGCCTTAGAAAAGGCTGGTAAAGGTAGAACAACAATAATTGTCGCACATCGACTTTCAACAGTGAGAAATGCAGATTTGATTTGTGTGTTCCATCAAGGAGAAATAGTAGAGAAAGGGACACATAACGAGTTAATGGATTTAAAAGGAACTTACTATAACTTAGTCAAACGGCAGTCTTTAGAAGAAGAGGCGGATCAAGACGAAGTCGATCAAAAAATGAAAAATTCAAATTAATTAAAAACTGACAAATTGGAACAAAAAGAAGATTTGGAAGAAAATCAAATCATTGGAGATCCAAAAATAAATCAAATTGAACAAACAAAACACGAAGAAACTTCTTTAAAAATTGAAGAAAAAACAGAAAATGAAAATAACGAACTTTTAGACGCTGCAAACGTTTACATCAAAACAAAACAAACTGAAAATGAAAATTTGGATTTAAAAAATTCGAATCGATTTTCATTTTTCAGAATTTTATATGAAAATTTGAAAGTCGATTTTATTGCATTTCCAATTGGTTTTATTGGTTCTTTAGCATCTGGTTGTGTTTCTCAATTGTTTATGTTATTTACAATTGACACTTTAGTCTTTTTGCTTCAAATCACACCAACGACTACATCTGACAGTCACATACTTCATGAATTTTACAACAAGGTAGTTGAGCTCTTTTGTTTTTCATTTTGGATATCTGTGACAGTGTACTTTTATGATGGTCTCTTACTATCATCCAAAGAGAAATTGAACATCCATTTAAAGAAAAAGTTGTATTCAAAGTTGTTACAACAGAATGTCGAGTACTTTGATAGAAAGGAGAATTCGTTGGGATCAGTGATGAACAAGTTAAACAGTGAAACTAAAAACACGCTTGGAGTCACTGGAGACAACTTAGGGGTTTTATTTAAGATTATTTCAGAAATTATTTGTGGCGTAGTGTTAGTCTTATTTTATTATTGGCAACTTGGGCTCTGTATAATTGCGATCTTCCCAGTCCTCCTCTTCTTTTTGTTTTGGAATGGGTACTTAAATTCAGAACAAAGTTCGCCAGCAATTAAAGCTTATGAAAAGTCTGGAAACACATTAATAGAAGCCATTGAAGCTATTAAAACAGTTCAATCACTTGGTAAAGAGAATTTCTTTGGTATGAAATATGCAGAGAGTCTTGAAAATCCAAGAAAAGGGATTTTCAAGTGGGGATTTTTGTTAGGAATATTTGAAGGAATCAACGTATTCATTTACAAGACTTTGGGCTCGTTCACCTTTTATGTTGGATTCAAATTTGTCAGAAAAAGTTTTGTGTATGATACAAATGTCAGTGTTTTCATGAAACAATTGATGGATAAATACGTCTTAATGCAAAAGGGGACGTATCCTTTTATCAATGCTTGCACCACTTGTATCAATCATACTGAAGTCATTCCAGAAATGGGTCGTTCATTAACTTCAGCGAAAAGTGTGTTTGATATCATTGACAGACAACTCACTATTATTGAAATGTCTGATCTTCAAAAAACAGAGAACATTGATGACACGCAAAAGGAACAAAACAATGCTAAAAATTTGAAAAATAAGGAAATAAATAACAATAAAAAAGGTATAAAAAAATTCAAGTTCGAAACTAAAATTGAAGGTAATTTGTAGTTCAAAAATGTCTATTTCAGATATCCAACACGACCAGAAAATAGCGTCTTAAAAGGTCTTGATTTTACTGTTTAAAAAGGGAAGACTGTTGCTTTGGTTGGAGTTTCTGGGTGTGGAAAAAGTACTTCAATACAACTAATAGAGAGAATGTATGACACAACTTTTGGAACAATTGAAATAGATGATAAAGATATTAAAACACTTCCACTCCATAAATTAAGAGAAAGTATTGGAATGGTCGGACAGGAGCCCGTGTTGTTTAGTGAATCGATATTGGACAACATTAAACGAGGAAGTTCTGACGAAGTCTCTATGGAAAAGGTCATTGAAATAAGCAAAATGGCTAATGCACACGACTTTATTAGCGCACTTCCTGAAGGATATAATACACTTGTTGGTGATAGAGGAAGTCAGATGTCTGGTGGACAGAAACAGCGAATAGCAATTGCAAGAGCTCTAATTCGAAATCCAAAGATTTTGTTGTTGGATGAGGCTACAAGTGCACTCGACAGTGTATCGGAAAAAGTTGTGCAAAGTGCATTAGAAAATGCAAGTAAAGGAAGAACAACAGTTGTAATTGCACATAGACTTTCAACAATTCAAAATGCAGATGAAATATGTGTTGTTATTCGTGGTAAAATAGCCGAGAGAGGAACACACGAAGAACTTATGAGAATGAAAGGATTTTATCATGTTTTAGCCACTCAGCAATGCGAAAATAGTAATTGATAAAATTGGTAATATGAATGATATTTGGTTAAATTCAACTTTTTATTATTGTCAATATTTCACATTTAATTTATAATAATAGATTCAAACAAAATTTAAAACATAATAATAAGAAAATTACACGTCAATTTTTATCTTATCCAGTTTTTATGTATACAATCCGCTTAATATTCAAAAGCTATAATTAGTCTTGTTTCTCGTTTTTGTGGTGATCCCCATTAATTCGGCTATCTGTATAATGAACGTATTTTGATGTAACTTATTTTTATTAGCCACTATGTTTCATTATAAATTGCCTCAACAGAGACAATTGGTTTATTAATGATTTGTTACAACTTTTGTGTAAAAATCCAAAACATGTTTGTCATTATTTTTTTAAATTCTTATACAATATTATATTTAATAATACATATTATTATTACTAAGCAGTAATTTTTTGTTTTTTTTAAATATAATTTTATTTTATTACTTTACAAAAAACTCAAAATATCTTTTTTATTACAAATACTATAATACAATCTATTATTCAATTAAAAACTTAAAAATTTTATTGTTATTTATGATTTTTTTGAATAGTTGAATTTTATTGAACTGCTTATTTTGTGAAACAGTTTAAATTCGAAATACAGTAAAACCTCCCAAGAGCGGGAGGGTGTGGTAATTTTGTTCTCTCAAGAGCGGGCATTTTTAGCCAATCAAACCTTAATTACCACTCGATAGAGAACTCTATTTTTAGTTTCAGTCTAAAAAATGCCCGCTCTTGAGAGAACCCGCTCTTCAGAGGTACCGCTCTTGGGAGGTTTTACTGTATAATGTTTTCAACAGAGCCAACTATTTCGAACAAACTCCGTATTTATCTAAAAATAAAACATTTTCTTGTTGTATATTTTTGAAAACAAGAATTTCAAAAGCAAAAAATTGTTGTTGTTCTTTTTTATATATAATGATATTATTCATCTATAAAAACAATGTTGATATTTTATTTTATTGTATTAACCTTGTCACAACATCACAGGACCAATTCGGCTGTTGAATCAATATATAAATCTAAAAATTCTCAGAGTACTGCTTTAATTTCTGTTTCAACAAGTAGATTGATGAAAACTAAAGAATCAATTCAATTACCATCAACTTCAACAACACACAACAACATTCAAACACATGAAGATATTAGTAGGAAACTTCGCCTGGAATTAGTAAATAACAATGAAAAAACATTCAAAAAATACAAAGAAAACGTACCTAATACATCTATTTTTATAAAACCAAAAAACTTTAAGTTCGTTTTTCAAATGTGTGGAAAATACGAGGAAAAAATTCTTCCTGTTGATTACTCTCTGTTTGTTCAGTCCTGGCCTGGGGAATTGTGTGACAGAATGAATTGTCATGTTTCAACGAACACCAGGTTTGTTCCCGAAGGTTTTTTGATACATGGATTTTGGCCTCAATCAAACGAAGGTTTTATTAACTGTTGTTCTAATGAAAATTCAATTGAAAATGTTGAAAATTTGATATTGACAAATAAAGAGTTGAAAAAAGAAATTGGAAAGTATTGGTTTTCAAAAAATAAATGCAGATTTGCATTATACGAATTTGACAAACATGGTTCATGCACTTTGGATGTATTTAAAGGAGAAAGAGGTCCATTGGACTATTATTGGATGGTCATTAACTTGAGAAAGAATATAGATATTTGGACACTGTTGAAAGAAAGTGAATTAAAAGTAAAACCAATGAATAGGTATAAATTTGTTGAAATAAAAAATGTATTGAAACAACAAATTGGAGTCGAACCCGTAATTAAAAGCACCAACTTTGGTTCGATAGCAGAAGTAGTAATTTGCTATGATTTGAACGAAGAAAACAAACACAATCCAAAACCAATTAATTGTCCATATTATATGTATGAAAATGAATGGAATAACTCCCCTGAATATATCTATTTTAAACCATTTCCAGAGGCTTTTAAAAACATCGAGAAAACAACAAAAACAGACTGCGATTATTAATTCTGTTTTATTTTATATTACATATTAAAATAATTATTATTAAAAATACAAATAACAATTTTAACAATTAAAAAATTAACAAGTTTGTTTATTATCAAAAAATTGTCTAATATACATTTGGGAGTAAATTTAATAATATAATAAATTAACCTTAAGTTCTTAAGAATCGTAAGGTTAATTAGTAAATATTTTGTTATTTGCTTTTGAACTATTGTTGAAACACATTCAACACATCATTATTCGGGTGCAAATTATTTAATTCAACAATATTCGGCCCGTCCACCGTTTTTTTTTCAAATTACATTTGAAATATTGATAACAACGAAATTATTGATCTTCTTATATAACTCTCAATTAAACAATAAATTGTTTTAATTTTTATTTAATATTTACTATTATATAAAATACATGTGATTATAAAACCAAATACTAATAATTAAAAATTAATAAAAACAACGAAATGTCAAAATTCAAAGTTTTAAATATATAAAATGAACTTAAATCTTTTATTATTAATATGAATGTAAAACTCGAAGAAATGTTTTTGATGAACGTCGTGTTATATATTAACAATTTTGAAACAATTGTAAATATTACTTGTGTAAATACAAAATGTGTTTCTGTTCTTTTTCGAATGAAAACAAATCCCGTTATAATTGAAAAAAACATAATTATGATCATTATCATTTAAAAGAGTATTCCAAATATTATATATCAAGAATAATGAAATTATTTCCAAATATTTGCACACTTACACTTCCTTCTTATTATATAACAATACCAAAACTTTTAATACGAAATATTGATTACATTAAAATTACAAAAATAAGACGAGACGAATGGGAGTATGTTTGGTTACAAGAACAATTTAAAATCAAAATTGAAAGAGACTTTCTTCCTATATAACTCCCCAACTTTTTGACAAACTCGACTAAACTCGCACAACAAAATGCAGTGTTACCAAAAATGAAAACTATTGTTATTAAAAACGTTGGTACTTTAAAGTGCTTATTGAAAGAAATTCAATTTTGTCAGAACATTGAAGATTTGGCCATATATGAAAAACGAAATGAGGACAACACTGATTTATGGAAAGCACTGATTTGTCATAAAGAGTTTATTCTGTATTTGCACAAATTAAAAATAATCACAATTAACGTCGGTTATCTAGAGCATATAAAAGATACTTTACAATACATCGAACAATTTGTAGAACGCCTTCCACCATTAATATATATTGTGAATATATGTGGAGTAGAAACAGTTCAAAATTATTAATCAGAACACAGAGAAATACGTCAAAAAGTCAATTTTTTGTTGAGATCAGTTGATAATTTGAATGGTTTCGTTCAAGAAAATCAAAATATTTATTTGGATAACACGTGTTTTGAAAATGAAATAATTATTAATGAACAAGAAGTGGATCATATACAAAACTTGTCAAAATTATATCAACAGTATTTTAAAAAAGTTGTTATAAAAATTGAAAGTGATGTATTTATAGATATTTCTAATAAATTTGCAAAAGAAATTGTGATAATCAATTGTCTTAATAATACCAACATTAACAGCAATAACAACCAAATCGATTTAAAGGTCTCATCGCAAGCAACGACATTATCTTTTTCAAATTTGAAATATATAAATTTTATATGTGACAATGAAGTTAAAATTAATATAAAAAAGGAGTTTAAAACGACGGTTTTGACTGAAAATATCCCAAACGACTTTTTTGGGAATGACACCATTTCAAAAACTTTTTTAAAAGAAGTTAAAAACGAAATAAAAATACTTAAACCAATTGAATTAGTTTCAAGTTGTATCGAAAAGGTTCTTCTCACTCAAAGCGCAATTCTCAATATTAACACGATCAATTTTGATAACGTTTATTCTCTCACAACAAGCACACCTCAAACTCTATGTTATATGCCGAAAGAACTAAGTCATCTGAAAGTGTATGAAAGCCGACATGACACGTTTGATTTACTCAAATTTAAATTAAAAAGAATAGAAGAAGTATATTCATATAAAGTCACGTTATACATTCCAAATTGCTTAACATCACTCATAGTTAACTCGAGTAATTATTGCAATTATTTCGCACTTGAAAAAGTTAATTTGTACGAATTTTCAATGTTTCACTCCACTTCTAACAAAGGCAGAAATATTGTTGTGGATTATGTTAAAATATATGAAGAGACCGAATACCATTATGATCACTATTGGAACGACACAATAGTAGATGGATTTGAATATAAAGAGTTACTTATTAAATCTCTATTAACTCGATGGAATGGAGACATCTACTTTGAAGATACTTCTCAATGGAACAGAGCCCATTTGGAGTTAAATGACACATCTAAAGTGTTTGAATTGTTACCAAACGAGTCAAAAGATTATTATGAAAAGAGACCAGTTTATAGTATATCAGATAGATTATACATGGGAGATCATTACTTCAATTTTGATGAAATGGGTGGTATTCAAAAGATCGGTAACTTCACTTTTAAACAGAACACGTTGGCTCTAAATTTACAAACATCGTTTTACCAGAAGGATTAAATACACTTGGGTTCGGTGCTTTTCAAAACATGAATTTAGTCACTTCCAAGAGACATTAAAATCCTTCCTTATAAAGTTTTCTCAGGTATGAGAAACTTAATCGAAATTATATCACCACATGAAACACTTGAAATGGAAGACTTTACATTATGGGCTTGTAATATGTTGAGTGTACACCCAAAATTTATACCAACAAAATATGCTTGGTATATAGACAAATACCTCCTTTCTTTTTGTAATATTAAAACCGTTTTTGTCTCACCAAAAGTGGAAACTTTACCAACCAAATGTTTTTGTGATGCAACAAAAATTATTAGCATCACTATACCATCAAATGTCGGTTTTGTGGAAAATCATTGTTTTTGTGGGTGTACAAACTTGGAAGAAATCAACTTTGGAAAAAACACGTGTTTTGATAAATGGGTCACTTTTGCAAATTTGTTTTCTCTTACTAAAATTAGTTTACCAACAACTCTCACCAAAATTAAAAAATTTATGTTTAAGAACTGTTGGAGATTGAAAAATATCGATATTCAAAAGAATATTGTCAAAATTGGAGATTTTGCTTTTCAAAATTGTAAGTTTTTGACACAAGTAAAAATTCCAGAAAACGTGAGTTATATTGGTATTGGATGTTTCAAAGGATGCATAAGTTTGCATATTTTTTAATTGATAAGTTAAACAAAATTATTGTAATTTTTAATATCAACATTAAATTTTTTAAATATTCATTAAAGATAAAAAAAGTTTACTATGTATAAAATTAAAATTTATTAGGTTGAATACAATAAAACTAGACTTACGACTACAGTAAAAAGCATCTATTTGTGGGTTTTTAAACAGAAAAAAAAAATATTTATTTGTGTGTTTTTTATTGAATTGTGTAGTAAATTCTATTCACTTTTTATACATAAAAATGAAAAATTCTAATGATATTTGAGTATTTTAATTAAAATAAAACTATATTATTTATTCTAGTGTACCTAAATTCAAGGTTTGAAAGCAAAATAACAATTTGTGGGTTTTGCATTTGATTGGTCCATTGACCCAAAAATAGACGTAACCCACAAATATAACTTTCAAATTGATGCTTTTTACTGTACTTAATGCTGTCTTGATAGTTATTGTTTTGTTTATTGAAACTTTATGAAAAAGAATATTTTTGATCAAATAAAAATCATCAAACAACTCCAAAATAATTTGATTTATCTTTTTTTATCAATTTCAAATAAAAAAGTGAATAACATAATTAAATTTGTTATTAAAAAAATATTTTTTGCAACAAAAAGTGTTAACAAGTTACAGTCATGTGATTGCCAAATTTCGAACCCAATACTAACAGTAAATAAAGTTAAAAATGTTATTCATTTTATTTCAAAAAAAACTCGAATGTAGACTGTTTAATTACCTAATTTTCATTATCCTCATAATAATCCTCTTTCTCGATATTATTTCCATAGTTCTTTGGGTAAACAATTTTCTTCAGATTGTCGCAACCCTCAAAAGCCAATTTCTCGTCCACATACATCAATTTTGGTGGAAGTATAATTTCTTTTAAGGTTTTGCAGTTTCTTAAACACCTTTTTTTCATAATCACGGGATATTGTCCAAATTCAACTTTTTCAAGACTAATGCATCCATCAAAACATCTGAATGGCAAGTCCGCGTGTTTTATAACAGCTTCTTTGAGACCAATACATCCACAAAACATAAGATTCCCAACAGTTTGAACTTTTTCATCCAATACAACTCTTTCGAGTTTTTCACAGTTTTGGAAACACCTTTTCCCAACATACTCGAGTTTTGGAGGAGAAATAAATTCTTTCAAACTTTTGCAGTTAATAAATACGGAGTCATTCAAACTCTTGAATTTATTTGGAAATTCAACAACTTCGAGTTTTTCACAGTTCTCAAAAGTGTTATTTTCAAGTCTTTTAACACCACTTGGAATGACAATTTTAGTTAAACTTTTGCACCCACTGAAAACGCGATTTTCAATTGTTTCAATGCTGTCTGGAAGTATTATTTCTTTAAGACTCACACACCCAGCAAATAACTCACAATTCAAGATATTAATAGTTTTAGAAAGCACAACTTTTGTTAATTTAGTGCAGTTTTTGAAGCACTTTAATCCAATAGAAGTGACTGTGTCCGGAATGATCACTTCTTCTAATTTATTGTTGTTCTCAAAAGCGCCATTTCTAATCCATCAAATCCGTTTGGAATATCAACAACAGCTCCGGTGAATTGATCTTTTTCAACAACTTTTCCTGTTAAATAATTAGGACATTTTGAAAACACGGTATCATCACACACCAATGATTCGTCTTTATTAACTTTTCTTAAGTTCGAGCAGTCATTGAAGCATTGAGTTCCTATTTTCGTGACACTCTTTGGAATTGTAATTTCTTCAAGACTGGTACATCCATCAAAGCAATTGGAATCAATTGAGACAAGACTGTTCGGCAATTCTACAATTCGAAGATTAATACAATCAGAAAAACATTCATCTGAAAGTGTTGTGACGCCGTCTAAAACAACAACTTTAGTCAATTTGTCGTTGTGACTAAAAGCACCATCCATTATTTCTACATTTTGGAGTACTAACTCTTCAATGTAACAATCACTAAAAGCAGTGTACCCAATCGTCTTCAAAGTGGATGGAATGCCATGTGCAAATAATTTACGAGTTTTATTAAACCCGCTTTGTTCGACTATTGTGATTTTTTCTAGATTCTTTATTTCACTCAAATTCGAGCAGCTTAAAAACATCCCAAATGGAATTCTAGTTATTCCTTCAGGAAGTGTGACACTTTTCAAATTCACACATTTCTCAAAAACGTTCATTCCAAATTCAACAACAGTATTTGGAATTACAAAATTTTCAAATGATTTGCAGCTTTTAAATGCATTTTCTCCAAATGAAGTAACAGTACTTGGAATGACTATTTTTGTGACATTTTTACAGCCTCTAAAACTTTCTTTAGGAATTGATGTGAATTTTTCATCCCAAACAACTTCAGTTATTTTCTTATTTTTAGAAAACACCCCTGTTCCCATTACTTTCAGATTTTTTGCAAAGAACATTTTGTCAAATTTACAATTTATAAATGCATAATCGCCAAATCTGGTCACTGAATCCGGAATAGTTATTTTTGATAGATTTACACAATTACTGAACGTTTCATCATTAATTTCTTGGATGTTACCTTCAATCACCACTTCTTCAAAATTGCAATTTCCAAAAGCACCTATCTCAATCACCTTAACGTTTTTGGGTATTTTAAATACTTTTTCTCCATCAAGTGGACACCCAGAAAAACATCGGTCTCCAATTTTGGTCACATTCATTGGAATATCAACACTTTTCAAACTATAATTGGAAGCAAAAGCTGCGTCTGGGAGTTTTGTTAAATTACTCGACAATTTGATGTGTACCAATTTATCTAATCCACTGAAAGCTTCATCTCCAATTGAAGTTACATTATTGGATAATTCAATTGATGTCAACGCGCTTATGTTAATGTTTTTTTTGGGGGGGTATTAAAAACATCATCAGATAGTTGTCCAAATACTTTCGTGCCAAGACTTTGAATGTTGTCTGGAACAGTGTAGGAAACCAGATGATTGCCGTAAAACACGCAATCTGGAAGCGAATGCAAATTTTTAGAAAGAACAATTGAAGTCAATGGGCACCCCATAAAAGCGAATTTATCAATAGAAGTCACTGAATCCGGAATTAAAATGCTCTTTAAGTTTGTACAACAGCAAAATGCATTCTTTTCAATTGACTGAATATGGTTTGGAATTTTGAAAGAACTAAATGTGTGTTTTTTGAAAGCTTTATTTTCAATGGTTTTCCATTCTGGTGGTAGTTCAGTTGAATTCAAATCGACTTAACCTGCCTGTTTTTCTTCTTCTTCTCCAGACTCACTTGCCGAATCACTACTGTAATTTATCACACAGTTTTTCATTACCCTATTTTCGATGTTTTGAAAAATTGTTATCCTTTGTTTTTCTTCTTCTTCATTATCTGAACTATGAGTCTCGTTTTCTTTCAACGTTTCATCATCTTTATTGTTCGATGATTGGTTATTACACTCTTTTTCCATTTGATGTATTTTGAAATTGTTAATTCTTTTTATTCACGAAACGGGCAATCAAAATTGTGTTAAATTGATTGGTTTCTAAAATGAAATTACACAATCGTGTAATTATATATACAATTTATAATTTTAAATTATCATTTATAATTTTAATTCGATTAATTATTACACTATTTGATGTGTAACAAATTTAAAAAATTAATTATAAAATCATAATAATTAATCTGGATTTTGATTATTTTAAAGTGTGTTTATTTTATTGTGTATATTAAAAATATTTGTTTTTACAGAGTGTACAAAACTGTTAAACACGGCGATTATTTAGATCAAAACCATCATTATCTTTTTACTATCTTTTTTAAATGTTTTTTAAACAATTACGATTTTAATCCGATTATAAATAAAAATGAATAAAAAAATTCAAAATATATCACTCGAGTCAATTCACATGTTCGATGTTTTTTCTTTTATTTTTTTCAAAGAACATTAAAAATGCAAATTTCATTTATTATTTTAATAATCAAAGAAGACCCGTTTCATTCTTTCGAAAGATATTTTGAAACGCAATATCTTATTTAAAATATTACAACAACAAAGACAAATGTAAAGAATAACTAATTTAATTCATGATTTTAACTTAATGTAAGTTTTTTATACACGAAAACAAATTAAATCAATAAGGACAGTTATTTCTTGGAATAGTCTCTGGATGTCTAAGAAATTCTGGGTATGTCACAAATAAGGCTTCTTCATCACACTTTGAACCGTCGTAATAATAAATTTTGTCGGGACATTTTATCATTTGAGGGTCATATTTATTAGAATTCGTGTCGTAACAAAATCTAATTTCATAAATAGATTTTCTGTTTTTACAAACGACGGACGGTTCTATTCCAACAATATTTTGCAAAACTTTTTTAATATCAACAATTTTGTACAGTTTATTTGTTTCAACTTTGAGGGCACTTTCTTGGAGCAATTTCCAATAATTAACCTTTTCGTATAAATACAAAGCAGTTCTAAAATAATCAAATGGCCCGTTTTTTCCTTTATAAGTGAACATTGAGCAACTCCCATGTTTGTCCATTTGATATGCAACAAAACGACACGCTGTAATGGATGGCCACTCATTTCTT